GTGTGTGTGTGGTTGTTGGAGGGTGTGTGTGGGTTGTTGTTGGAGTTTGTGTGTGTGTGTGTGGTTGTTGGAGGGTGTGTGTGGGTTGTTGTTGGAGTTTGTGTGTGTGTGTGTGGTTGTTGGAAGGTGTGTGGGGGTGTGATGTTGGGTTGTGTTTGTGATGGGTGGGTTTGTGTGTGTGGGGGGTGGGTTTGTGTGTGGGGGGGTGTGTGTGTGTGTGGTTGTTGGAGTTGGTGTGTGTCCAAGTTGTGGGTGTGGGTGTGTGATGTGTGGGGGGTGGTGATGGTGTGGGTGATGTGGGGTGAGGGTGGTGTTGGGGATGTGTGTTGGTGGTGTAGAGGTGTGTGGGTGGTGTTGTAGGGTGTGTGTGGGTGGTTGTTGGAGGGTGTGTGTGTGTGATGTAGGGGTGGTGTTGGTGTGCATAGCACGATAAAAAAAAAGAACCCCCTAGCTTAAAAAACAAAAAGTTATGGTTGTTTGAATTTTGAAAAACTTTAAATATACTTTTCTCAGTTTCTTTTATTTTGGTGCTTCATCCCCTTCTAATGCGGAGCGCCTCATTTCTCGAACCCAAAAAAATGTCCCTCATCCCCGGAAATTTCCGGGTAATGGAAAAATGTTCTGGGAAGTTCCAGAAATTGAGCCCGATTTACATCTCTCAAACCCAGAAAAAACTCCCCCATCCCCGGAATTTTCCGGGTATTGCAAAAATGTTCTCAGAATTTTCCCGGAACTGTGCCCCTTAGAAAATCGTCCACAAAGCTGGAATTTTCTGGAAAACTCCAGCTTTGGGAATGATTTTCCAAGAAAATTTCAATTCCGGCTATTGGAGAGTTCCAGGTTAGAGGCATTCTGGCTAACGGCGATATTACTAATACAATGAAGTTTAATATTATTTGACAAGCAATGTTCATTGCAGCTTATTTTTTAGACAGAATATGGTTACTTAATGCAGGTCACAGGTGATTGTGGTGAAATGCTCTTTACATTTATGATTGTAATTAATAACAAAATTTAATATTCATCTTTTCTTTACAAAATATTACAACTAAAAGTTCGTGATTGAGTGTACACATATTGTTGCTGCTTTGGTAATTATTACAAGAGGCTAAGAGGCGTAGCTGTGGCCCGCATGTATCTATCTAGCAGCTGTAGCCTGTATGTGTCTGGCCAACAGGTTGACGCCTCCTTACTGGTCGTTTGGGGGAGGGGCTAAGCCTGTTGGTCCTCTCGTCTGCACTGAAGAATAGAGTGGAACTCATGCATTTAAAAAAATATATTTGTTTAAAAAGTGCCATGCTGTCACAGAGGAAAAAAGTGAGGGAATGCCGTTCCCCCACATTCCCCATTCTCGATTTAGACGGATTTACTTTGCACGTTTTTGAAATAGCACTCGCATTAAATTAATGCCAATTTTTAAAATAACAAAGTTTTTTTGAAATAGCACAGTTTTGAAAAGTGCGCCAGGCAACGTAGTTCAGTACTGTACAATACACATAGTGTTACTCTTAGATCTTAAAAGAAAAGATTATGAAAGCCTTGCAAACTTCATTGCTTTCCTATTTTATGAAAATGGAAAAGTAACATCACCTGAACCTCAGCCATCGACATCTGGCATTTTGAAAGCCCCCACTTCTCCTCCCCATCTCCTGCTCTGTCATCTGATTCAGATGACTCCCTCCCACAGTAACTCCCCACCTCTCCTCCACCATCACCAGTTCACGCACGCCATCCCACCCATCATTCAATGTAAGTGTTAAAACAAATTTTCATTTAAAATCTATTTTCTTCCAACTGTATTATTAGGTTCATTTCTATTATTGTATTAGTATTGTTATTATATTATTATTGTAAATAAAACATTGAAGGAAATTGATGAACAAATAACAGTTTTTAGGGAGTGTTTCCCCTAATCCCTGCTGTTTCTTTTATTTCTTATGGAATAATTAAGCTTGGTTTGCACGATTTTTATTTACACTGCCATTCTCAAGAACGTAACTGCCGTTTAAATCAAGAGATGGCTGTATAGGAAGTGTAGAGGAACTTTGGTGGATGGAAGAATGGGAGACTTCACAGTACAGTCGGCCCTTAACATATGCGGGTTTAGCATACACTGATTTGCAAATACGCGGATTGCCCTGCCGGAGGAATATTCTGTACATTGAAGGAATTGAAGTACAGTGACCCCTCCGTTAACGAACTCAATCCGTTCCAGAAGGTCGTTCGTTAACCGAAAAGTTCGTTAACCGAAACCATTGTTTCAATGGGTTTTTGGGTAATTGGTTCCAGCTCTCTGAAAATTTCCTAAATTCAACAAAAATGGTAGAAAAGTTCACTTACTTTGAGGTGTGTATGTAGAAGGCTCCTGGATGATGATGATGATGATGGGATTTAGAATGGGGGTGGAGGAGAAGGAAGAAGAGAAGGCATTGGGGTGGAAGAGAAGTCACCCCATGGCGCCATTTCACCCATAAAATTTTAGCTCTCTGGTGTAATTCAAGATTATTTTCTTTAAATCAACACTGCACTGCATTATATATTGTCAATATGTAAAATATATTTCAAAATGACCAATAATTTGCTTGGAAACACAGAAAAAAGCGTTTAGTTGAAGAGAGTCTCAAGCAAGATGTTACCTCCAGTGAAAACAGAGAGAGACTAACTCCTGTTTGCTGTGTTAAGAGGCTGGATGCCGCGCATTAAACTAGTCACTTTACCTTCAATTATGTTCAATAATTGTTAAAATGACTTAAGAAATTGAATATTAAACTTTTAAAATTATTGAATAGTATAAACTTCTTGATATTTACTAAAATAGTAAGGAATTTAAGACCGAGAACCGATTAATGTATTGGCGGACTGATACTAAGGCTGGTTGCCCGGTCAGTGCAAGCGAAAACATGTTGAGGTCGGTTCGTAAGAACTTCGTTAACCGAATTTTTTTTTGTTAACCGAATTGAAGATCCTTATGGAAGGCAGTTCGTTAATCGAAATTACGTTAACCGAGGTGTTCATTAAACGAGGGGTCACTGTACATTCAAATCGCATGGCATTCAACTCGCACGCGGCACCAAACACTGCACACCGCCCGCTACCCCACACACACACACACGTTACGCCACCCCGCGCTCCCTCACTCAGTCAGTCTCGCTGTAACCATGCTTGTGTTGACATCAGCATTGTAGTTGCAAAAATATTACATTTCCGTGAATGTATTATATCAAGCACAGTATGAATAGAATATCACTAATATAACAGTATTTTAACCGAAAACTATTAAAAAAAACGAGTAACATCTCTTGAACATCGGAAGTTTAGGTAAAGTCTTATGTTTTCGTCATGTATTTTATCCTATTTTACATTGAAATACATCATTTTTCAGCAAAACTACTATTTATTTCTGAGAATATATTCATTCAGGTGCAGTTTAGGTAAAATATACATGTGATGTAACAGTTTTTTAACTGAAAACGATTAGAAAAACACGTACCCTCTAGCCCTGTTCAAGGAGAAGACTGGGAGGAGCTGTTTGGTGCTGAAGACGATGACAAGGAAAATGATTTTGATGGATTTTAATGAAAATACCCAGAAATATGGTATCATAGTATTTATTCAAGTGAATTAGGATAGAATATTATTGTAATACAACAGTAGTGACGATGTGGAGGAGGCGGAGGGATAGAGCGGGGAGGAGTGGTGACGTTGGAGGCGGGAGCAGGGACGAGTGGAGATGCCAGCCAGTACATTACGGGTGTACAGTATTAATTGTTTTTATAGCTCTCTTTGCATTTTAATATTAAATACTGTACATTACGTTTCAACAAGACTACTATTTATTTCTGAGAATATGGAAATGTAATATTTTTGCTGAAATGACGTACGTATTACAGTGGAAAGTGGGATAAAATTGTGACGAAAGCAATGACTTTCGCTTTCTTTCGTTCAAAAGATGTTACCGTAATCGCTTTTCGAATGGTTTTCAGTTGTGGGATTATGAGGCTAATGATAGGATAGAATATTATTGTAATACAGTACAACAGTTTTTAACTGTAAACCATTCAAAAAGCGATTACGGTAACATCTTTTGAACGAAAGAAAGCGAAAGTCATTGTTTTCGTCATGATTTTATCCCACTTTCCACTGTAATATGTACGTCATTTCAGCCAAAATATTTCATTTCCATACTTATTTCTGAGAATATATTCATTCGGTCACAGTTAAGGTAAAATATACTTGTGACGTAATATTTTAATGAAAATACGGTATCGTAGTTTTTTTTGTTTCAAATTTAATTAACAAAGATTGATGTTTCAAATGTAATGAACAAAAATTCATGTACAGTATCTATAAATAAACTTTAAAAAATGAATACTTTATGTTTTACATCATCCTGTGCATACCATACCATGCATTTGGCTACTTTGGGCTTGCTATGATGACGCAAGAGATCTGCCCTGGCAACTGTACCGACACTCACAGCTGGTGGTGCGTTGGTGCATCGTTTCCATTGTTTACTGGTAGTTACTGGTAAATATTTTTCAACCTAACGAAACTATTACCCATTTACAGGTCGACCCCCAATTTTTTGCCAAATAATTTGGTCTTAAAAACTCGAACTACACACAGGTATATATGGTAAATAAGGACATGGGGGGCCAGGGTTTTTTTTGAGGGGGGGGGGGCAGCAAAAGTACATGGATTTTTAACATTCACGGGTATCTCTGTTACCTAACCCCCGCGTATGTTAAGGGCCGACTGTATATTCACAAACAATTATAAATTATGAATGATTTAAAGCTACTTTTATAAGAAATTGGTTCCATGACATTGAGAGGTTTAATATTTTTCTTTATCAACCAAACTGAAATAAATTATGGGCTCTCAAATATGCACAACTAACTGCTGTAAGAGAATTTCAAACTCAAAATTAGCATTGTGTACTGGTACACTTTTTGTGTAATATAATGTATTATCATTAAACTCATTTCTACTATTTGCAGGCAAGACTGTGTACAGGTATCGTCGTTATCCTGAGCGCCATCAGGTTATTGGGCAAGTGTTCAGTCACACAGCGCCAATATTGGATCTGGACTTGTCCCCCTACAATGAATGTATCCTTTTATGAAACTCAAGTACTGTATTCACTGGTAACTATTAAAGTAATCATTAGTCTCTCTCTTTTTTTGTGTGTGTAATGGTTAATTCTCTATTTTATGTGATTATTTTATGGTAGCAGAATCTAGGGAGTCAGTGTAGTCAAGTAGTGACATATGTACCTTTGATTTACTGAGAAAGACTTGTGTTAGAGGTAAGTATAGTACAGTGATTAATTATTATTAGACTAGGATTAAATAATTTATAGACTTACAGAGAGTAAAGGAAAGAAAAGAGAAATAAGAAGAGTATTTAATGAAGAAGTGAATAGTAAAAGATGTGTAAAAAAGGTGAGAGAAGGCTAAGGAGGAAGTAGATGCATAGGCAGAGGGAAACACTGTATTAGAGGGAGATGACCATCTGGGAAGTACAGTAGTAGTTTTGTGTGTGACTGGAGATCATTGTGTTAACCAGGGCTGTGCTGTTGTTCTGCTTGGTGATGTGAGGTTTCTCATTTTTGGGTGTTTTCAATATCCCAGGATTCCAGATCACTCCAGTCACAAGCAATGACTGCATATTATGTTATATTTTCTGGATACAAATTTAGACTATCTAAACTTGACTGAATATTGTCACCAGGGCTAATATGCAGGTACAATTCGGTTTCGTTTATTATTTTGGCCATAACATTTAAGGTGGTATAAAAAAATCCTCAAGGTATTAGGACTACATTCAACACCTTCTGTCATCCAGTAACGGTTAATAACATGGTTAAAATTTATTATAGACCTTTTGTCATTTGCTTATACCTGTACCAGTAATTTTGAGTGGTTTGATAGTGTGGCAATGGTGAAATTTATTTATTGCAGTTGAGTAGGGCCTCGTCTTTCTACTTCATGTATTGGTACAGGATCGCAGTCTTTTCACTAGTAATTTATATAAGTGTTAACCCCTATGCCCCAGGCTAGGGTGCCGCTGGCAGTACCCCCCTCCCCTCCACCCCGCGGGGTAAATCGAGAAAAATCAACTTTTCCAAAAATAAATTTTAACCTTTTTAAATGATAAAACAATAAAAAATAAGTAAGAAAAACTATATATTGACCCTCTAGAAACTTCCCTGTGGCAGCAGTGGCGAGGGAGATAAGACAGTGTTGTTTTGACGGCTAGCACTCGTGGTCACTACTCACTTAACAGCCATTTTCTGCTTGTCTTTGTGTCTGGAATGGCCAGTAATTCATATATATTTACTGATCATAATACTTATTTCCTATAAAAAATTCATTTAGAATATTTTATTTGCATTATTTTTCATAAAAAGTGCTTGGTGACACACGCAGTCTGTCGCCAGGCTGTCTGGCTGTCTTTGTGTTTGGTAGAGCAAGTAATGCATATACAGTGATCCCTCGGTTAACGGATGGTTCGGTTAACGAAATTTCGGGTAACGAATTACCTTCCATAAGAATCTTCAATTCGGTTAACGAACAAAAATTTGATTAACGAAATCCTTACGGAAATCACGTTTTGTTGTGAGCATCAGCTGATCAGCTGGTGGGCTAGTCTGCCCATTCAGTAATCTGTTCCATGTTTACATTCGTTTCCAATGGAGTAAATATCAATAAAGTTGTGCTGTTTAATATTTTTGCATGTTTTATATTAAAATTATTACTCATTTTAACATTTATTTAACATATTGATAATATATGCAGTACAGGGAACTAGTTTGTTGTGCGCCCATTAGATGCACGAGTCGGTCACAAGGCGTCAGTTGAGACTTTGTTTACAGTGGAGAGAGCATCTATTTGAATATTTTTGCATTTTTCATTGAAATTATTGGTCATTCTGAACTTTAATTAACATATTGATAATATATAGCGCAGTGCAGTGTTGATTTAAAGAAAATAATCTTGAATTACACCTAGTGAACTTAAAATTTTATTGGTGAAATGACTGCATCAAGCATGGTTCCCTGAAAGGTGATTTTTCCTCCATCCCCAATTCCTTCTCTTCTCCCTTCTCCTCCACCCCACTTCTAATTCCCATCATCATCATCATCAACCAGGAACCTTCTACATACACACCTCAAAGTAAGTGTACTTTACTGCATTTTTTTTTTAGTTTGTATGTACTTTTCTGTGAGCTGGAACCAATTACCCAGTATCCCATTGAAACAATGGATTCGGTTAACAAAATTTTCGGTTAACGAACGACCTTCTGGAACGAATTGTGTTCGTTAACCGAGGGACCACTGTACAGTACTGTACTACATGGGTAAAGGCTTACAAGACAGAGGAGAATAGCTGTTGTGTGTGCCCTAACAGGTTGTTAGTCAATGATGTATATTTTTTTCTTGCTTTAATTTTGCTGGACACTTTATAGAGCATTTGCCAGGTAACCAAGATGTTGTCTTTCTCATCTTGCAAGTTTTGAATTGTGGTTTATGATTCTCATATTGTGAATGTGAGTATATGTGCTGGATTTAGGATGAATATTTATATACAAATATGACATGTATTATGGATAGAAAATATATCACTATGATCTTTTATTTCCTTAATTTGGTCCAGATCTCATTACTGCGGGGAAAGACAACATGGTCGGTCTTCTTCATCTAGGGGCTCCAAATCATGGCTGGACGCAACGATATGAATTTACTTGAGGAATTCACCATCATACATGGGCTGTATTTCAGTGAAATTATTCATTGATTTTTTACTTTTAAATCCTCTTCCTGGTGTAGACGGCTGAAAACAAAAGCATTACCGTCACAAATTTTCACTTTATTCATTCTTACTGTTGTTAAAGATTGTTGTCCTGTGTTACTCCCCTTTTACAAGGACCCAAATCTGATTTACCCCGTCACCTCCCACATGCCAGCATCACCCATCAGCAACCCACCTCTTCTCTAAATTCACTTGATACCTCAATCTCTGCACCTTAATGTACGTACATTGTTGCTTCATGGCTGCCCATTCCCCGTACTACTAGTGAACTGTATCTCCTTATCCTTCCATCTCCTGTGTCTCATACACTCTTAACTATTTTTTTTTATTATCCATTCTCTCATTATACGACACATACCACCTGAGCAGATAACTGGTCTGCTCTCTAACCAACATTTCTCTTGCTCTCACATCTCTTTATTTCAGTACAGTGTTACTTAATATGCATTTCCTATTTACTCCACAAGTTACTCTCTGGTATGTCCTTTCTCTTCCTTCGAATTTCCTTCCTCCTTCACTTACATTTCTCTCAATTATCATATTTATCAGAAGTTGTTCAAAGTATTCCCCTTATATTTATTTTTTCCTTCCAATACATTCACTCTTTCATTCTTAACTGCTCTTCTCACTAGATTTTTTTTATGTTGCAACAAACTTTTATCTGATAAATAATTCATCTGCTCTTTATTTACATACTTTCATCATTTTCTTCACTTTCTATCTGTTCTCCTATCGCCCTTCCTTCCTTCCTTTATTCTTTCAGGTAACTATGGGTCATGTGTGCCCTTCTCTTCTCGTCCCACCATTCCCCCCTTTTTCTTCCTCTCTTTATTTGTAGCCACTGTATCTACACACTTTAGCTACATCCTTTGTGTCTTTTCTGTTCCTATTTTTCTTCATTTCTGGTGCCTTTACCTCCATTCTGTTTCTTAAGCTTTTGACTTTTGTAACCTTTTTCTTACCTCTATGAATATCTCAGGCTCAATCTTCTTTATACTGCACTGCTAATCAACCTTCTCTCAGAACAGGTTTCTATCAGTCTCTCTTTATTTCTATTCATCCCTGATCTTGCATATAAATTCCCTGTTAGTATCACTAGTGCATTACATTAAAGCTTTTCATGTCTTACCAGATTCATTCTCTCTCTCTCCTTTTGCTCGTCACATTCTGTGGTACTTATTATTTACTCGCTATAATCCAATTTTCTTTCCTCTTAACCTGACCCGTAATATTCTGGGAGTGACCAGCTTATATTTCATCACGTATTATCTTATTTCATCTCTCAACAACAATTCTATCCCTTTTTTTTTGCTTTTATTATCTCAGATCATCATCATTCAATTCTTATCACTTGTTCTTTGCTCACCTCTCCTTACCAGTCTTTTTTTTTCTCCCTCCACAAAACAAGGACATCCAGCTTGGGATCTCATGCCACTACTCTTTCTCCTTATCACCTTACATCCACATACAGTATATCCAACCAATTCCTTTTCATTTACTTTTGTTTCTTTATAGTATGCTAGAGGAGGTGCATGTCAAGCCCTGAGCAGATAAGCTGCTCCCATGCTTCTAAAAATTGACTCATTTGGTTTTGTTGTTCAGAAATTTAGTTTTACCATAGATATGCAATGAGTTGCTTTTTATGTGAAAGCTTAATTGGATTTGGTTTATGAAAATAACAAAAAGAGGCAGAACAGTTTTATTAAGGGATTAAAAAGGTTTTGTTGGAAAACAATGTTGCATCATAGTTTATGCAATACAGTATGTCATATTCTAATAGAAGTTTTTCAGTGATTAAATATAAAAAGTTTCTTCCAGCTAAAGCTAGTGCAGTTATCCAGTACAGTACTGCACGGGTACTGTATTTATATTGGTTTTTATTTGTAGTTTGTACAGTAGAATGTAAAGTGGCATTTGACTAAGGTTGATAAGGTGTATTATTCCATTTTTAATCATTTATTTTGTACATAGAGTACAGTATTTATATACCATGTTGGTGTAGCACAGGCAGGTGGAGCAAGTGTGTACACCTGAGTTTATCAGTACAAGTCTCGTGTTCTCATTGATAACAATCCTCTGTGACTTCATGGTTGACCTTATGGTAAGGTTTTATTGGTTGATGTCTTTAATTTTGGCAGTTTTTGCAAAAGTTTTATGGATAATAAAGGTAGTTTTATGCAGTTTCTATGTGATGAAGGATTTTAGAGAATGCAAGTTATGATTCCATTTGTAACTGTTTGCATTTGAGCAGGGACTTGAGCTAGCCCTAGATAGGTCCTTCCCCACTTCCAATAGGATAAGTAAATGTAGGAGTTTGTTTGTTTTATCAGATAGAGCACAAGATCCCAAGTTTTTAGATAATGTTTTTTTATCATCCCGTTGCTTTGTGATATCATGGTTAAGTTTTGATTTGAAAATGTATTTATAAATTCACAAATATTTTTTACTCTAAGCTAAACATTAAAAAATATTATTTACTTAGAATTTTGATGAGCACAAGTGGCTTAATAAAGTCGATATTTTAGGTATGTTTATTCTTCTAATTTTATAGTATGAAGTTGTGTCTAAAGAGGTTACGAAGTAGAAATCATTATAGGAACTTTTTAAGGAAATTTTATCTTATCTTATTTGGAACATAAAGGTCTTGTGTACAATTTAGTCATGATGTTCTGATGCATAGAAACTTAATGGAGTTATTTTCTACTATACCAATTGGAACTAAAGATATTGTGAATAACTGTAGTCATGAGTTGCAATGTTTTTTAACTATAGTATTTTCTTGTTATTTTTGTCTATGTCTTGAGTTTATGTGTAGTATTCTTATCTTGATGAAATGTAGTGCAGGTATTTGAGGTATCCCTACTAAACTGTATGATTATTTTGGTAATACAGTACAGTAGTACCTGTAATAACTTGTAATAGGTTGTTATTACATATCCTGAGCAACTGTGAGTCCTGTCTTGAAGGACGGAGCACCACTTCTCATTCCTAATCTCAAATGAAGTACGAACAAGTGAGAGTAGAAGAGATCATTATCATTGTTTAAGTGAATGTAGGTTATATAAATGTGATTTTTTAAAAATTTTTGTCTAGAGTGTAGCTTCAAGTATATATTCCAGCTACCATGTTTTGTCATAGTCAGATAATGTGAAGTGAATGCTGTCAGCTGTTGGATTTTACGTAACATACAGTTAACCCTCACTTTACGCGGTCCCGCATTCCGCGTTTCCACGTTTATGCGGTGCCCTGCCGGAACCCAGGATGCTCACATTCCGTGGTGCGTGTACCCCTTTACGCGGAGAGCGGCTGTCGAGCCGCGCCATTTTTGGATCCAAACCTCCCGCCATCCGCCATGTTGTGTAAGCTGCGCGAACATGGTGCGCACAAGGTCGCCCAGTCATCAAAACATTACCAGTTCTTCACCCGCCACCCACCACAGCCGGCCCAAGTCAGTGATAGTGATAATTATGGTGAGGATATGGACTTATATGGACTTTGGGGAGTTTGACAAAGAGGCCCTGCAAGCCTCTGTGGTGGATAGTGATAAAATTGATACAAGTGACACAGGTGAGGGCCAATAATCTGCCCTCTGCCTTGGAACCAACCGCCCATCCCCGTGTGCCCAGCCATTTTTTCTACTAATGTAAGTGTTAAAAAACCTAATATTATTGATATTTCTCTTAATTATTAATTGTGTGTGCATACCATCATAAAGTTAAGATAATATTTTTACTACAACATAGTTGTGTGTCGTCAAAAAGTGGAGTTTGGGGATCGGCCCGGACTCCATTTCAATTAATCCCATATGTTATGTTATTCACTTTACGCGTTTCTCACTTTACGCGGGACCCTCCGGGTTACATTAACCGCGTAAAGTGAGGGTTAACTGTATTGAATTTTTTTGACGGAGTTTTGAGCTTGCTATCAGTCAAGAGATCTCGAGCAATGTTTCCCAAAGCATCAGTACAGGTAGTACTTTTGTGGGAGTGCAGTACATATTTTGTGTTTGGTAATAGACAAACTGCCTGTAAAGGTTTGAAGTATTATGAAATAATATATATTATTCATTCTATACACTTTATATTAAGTAATTTTTTTTTTTGGTTTATACTGTAAAGGACCTTGTAGGCAGAATAACTTGTTTGAGTAATCATGCAAGAAACCGTGAAGAAATTAAAATCATGAGCGGAATCTCTTAATTTTATGCCTCTCAGCTTGACCTTCGGTGACTTCACCTGTTGTTCATGTGAGTTTATGGAATGTAAATTTGTAAAAAACAGACATGCATATCCCAAGTACAGTACAGAATACTGAATCCTTTCCAAGTACACAGCGATATTATATTTATCTTGTAAGGGCTGGATAAATTTAAGTTTGCAACCACTAACCAAAATACTGTAATGTATTAACCAAAATAATGTGGTCCTTCATAAGCAGCATTCTATTCACAATATTAGCTGCAACTGTATATTTTTTTAAGAAAGATTCTTTTACTTAATTATGGAGTTATCTAGGTCATCCTGTAACCACTTCCTTCCTCATGAATTATCTTAATGGTATTGAATCTTTTACGACATGTCAACACTGATACTAAATTATAACGTGAGCAATAATTGTAATGCACTCATACCTCGGTAGTAAGAATATAACTGAGGAAAACAGTACATTACTCTCCTGGTGAAGCATGGGTATACTTCACTGAGGTCATACAGCACTACAGTATTTGACTTTTGGATTCTAAAGTTCCCCACAGTTCAAGGTACTGTACTGTACTGTATTCCCAAAGGGGTGCTTGAAAGTCAGTAAATTCATTTTCCCTGCTGGATAAGTCTTCACTTTATTTGTAACCTCACCAGTGCAGTGAATATGTGTATGTGTTAAGCATCTCTGGGGTTGATAAGTTTAGACAGTCAGTTGATTCATCTCTTCATTTTCTGAAATTCACATTATCACATGCCCTTCATCCATACTTGTACATGTTGATAATAGATATTGTAAGCATTGATTTCTGATTAGGATGAATCTTTGGGATTGATACATTATACTTCAAATTTTCTATTACAATCCCTCTTTTGCATTTGATATATCTAAATGTGTTCATAGATTTAACAAGTGAACCATCTAAAATGAATCACTAAGGATTTCTAAGTTGAGTCAACCTGATTATGTATACAGTACTTTTAAGAGTAAAAATTATCAATTTGTTGACGTTCATACTAAAGTTGCAATTATTGTCTCAGACCCTACTTCATGTGGACTTAGCAATGGAAAATGTCTTAGTGATTCAAGAATGATCACGACTGGGTTTATTAGATCTAAGAGTGTGTGTGTAGGTCCCATCAGTCTTCATAAACCTAGGCATATTTTATAGCAATAAAAGCCAAAGAATGTGGAAGAGAGGAGAAAGGTAACACAAGTAATAAAGATATTCTTTATAGCTTCAGAGGAAGTTTTGTAATTGCTTTTTAGGTTAGTTTGTATTCTTAATAAATGAACTTTATAAGCTGTCTTTTTATCCCTTACCTAAATCTCTCGGAACAACACTGCTTCAACTTTGATTTTTTTTTCAATGATTCATCATTTATGAAATAACATCAATACAATTATATTTACTTCTTTGTGCAAACTGTTTTTGTGATATCATAACTTTATGCTGTATTCATCAGCAAATGTAGCTTGTTTACAACTGTGCATTAAACTGTGAGGTTGATAAAGTTAATCAGTCAATAATGCTGGGGAAGAGCACCTGGATCTGTCAGGATGAGAGTGCTTTAACTGTGAGAGTAGATTATACAGTACAGTATATAATAGACCAAACTTGGACTGATTATACCCTGCCCTATCAAATATTACATTTAGTTAAATTAGAAGGAGAGTGAAGTAAGCATCTACACGATAACTAAACAATAATAAAAGACAAAACAGATATGATTAACCCTCTCGTGGTCTTTCAACACAGATTGCGTTACTGTATGTTCCCATGCTGAAGTGACCCTTCCTACTCAACCGTATCACACTGAGAACACCCCTCCCATTGCAGAAGTGTGGGAACAGTGGACTAGCCCTATCAACTACCTAAGTTCCCCCCACTAGCCTCATGAGCTGACAGATGCATCTCTAAAGGTGCATTTTGGGTCTGGATTGCTGTATTTAATGTTTACGAAAATGGAAAAAAGTTCCAGTTACTGATGCAACCTGCATTGAAAGACTGTGAGGGGGTGAGACTGTAAATGACATAATTTGCATCGAAAGTGTGTGTGTGACTCCAAAATTGTCTAATGTATAATCCTACTGAGGCCAGGATTATGTTGATGAGTGACTATAAATGAGGTTACCCTTATACTGTACATCTCAAACAAGGATTGTTCATTATATGTTACTTAGGTATTA